GATGAGCTTGAGGATAAGGCTGACATGTTTATTTCTTGACGCCGATTGCAGCCAGAGGAGGCAGGCCATGTACTGTCCGGGCGGGGAGAGATTAGCTTTCGCTGTGAAGTAACTCCAAACACTCGAGCTATAGGCACACTCAAAGAATAAGTGGTCCCTAGTTTCGGCTTGGACATTACATAGGATGCATAGTGGAGAAACATTTAATCCCCAATTCCTTAGCCTGTCCCGAGTATGCATCATGTTCCAAGCGATCACCCAAGAGATAAAAGCGTGCTTAGGGATGTTACCTTTAAACCAAACAGACTTACTCCAAGGGATAGAGGGAGTAGTGGGATTCAGAGCAAGCCAAGTCTTAGCAGCAGAGAAAGTGTTTGAGGGCGCATGATGGTCAGATTTCCATAGGAAGGAATCATCATGCTGGCTCTCAAGCAGACTATCCGGACTTGGGAGAATAGTTCTTAGGAGTGAGATGATCTGATTCCTGCTTCGAGAAGAAGAGAAACGCCACTGACTCCCTCGAAGAGCATCTCTAACCACCGCATCAAGAGGCAACCCCGATATCTGCGGTCCCAAAGGGCCAGTCATATCAATAATTGGTCCCAGACCAGTCCAATTGTCCTGCCAAAACCTAGCAGTAATTCCAGACCCCACCTCGCAGACAATGAAAGGTCTAGCAAGTGGTCGAAGCTTGCATAATTGTTTCCAAATCCAACTTCCGGAGGAACTGGGATTTAGGTCCCAGAAGCATCTATCTCCAATCAGATTTAATCTGACCCAAGAAACCCAAAGAGATCCGGCGGCCGAGAACAAGAGCCATATCAGTTTTAGAGCTGACACTTTGTTCCAGGCGGTCAAGCGACGCAGGCCCAAACCTCCACTATCTTTTGGTGTACAGACCACTTCCCAAGCAATCTTTGCTCCTCTAGCTGAATTAGGAGCACCTCTCCAAAGGTAAGCGTTACACATCTGCTCAAGCTTAAGAAGGCACTGGTTTGGCAGGATGAAAATGGAAGTCCAGAAGTTGATGGTGGCGTAGATGACAGATTTCAACAGTTGTAACCTGCCCGCAAACGAGAGGTGTCGTGAGGTCCAAGAGGTGAATCTGTGATTGATCTTGTCAATGAGAGGCTGGTAATCTTGTCTCCTCATCTTCTGAGCCATAAGCGGGACACCTAAATAGCGAACAGGTAAGGCGCCATGTGTGAGTTCAAACTGGTCAGCTAAGTCCCTTGTACTCTCAAAATTTCCTCCATCAATTAAAAGAGCAGTTTTCTGTCTGTTGATATTCAGACCAGATCCCATCCTGAAATCATCGAGAATATGAAGAATACCCTCAATAGAAGCAGCAGATCCATCAAAGAAAACTAACACATCATCCGCAAAACTGAGATGTGTCACCAAAGGAGCATAGCACTTTGGATGAGGCTGAAAAAGTCCATTAGCCGCACCTTTATCCAAAGACTTAGCCAGAATATCCATAACCAAAACAAAAAGGTGAGACGACATAGGATCACCCTGTCTGATTCCCTTTTTCCCTGGGAAGAAGCCAATAAGTTCCCCATTGAAAGCAATGCTATAGGAAGGAGAAGAAATGCAAACCCAAATCCAGTTGATGAAGATAGGAGGCAGATTCAAAGCCTTAAGAATGTTAATGAGAAAATCCCAATTAACATTGTCATATGCTTTGGATAGATCAATTTGTAAGCATCCTCTTGTGACTTCTCCAACCGCTTGGAAATTCTCCACCAATTCAGAAGCTAAAAGAACATTCTCGCACAAGAGCCTGCCTTGAATGAACCCTACTTGATTGCCCTGGACTGCATCTGAAATAAACAGCTTCAGCCTCTTAGAGATAAGGCGAGTGATGATCTTGTAGACCGTTGTACAACACGCCACAGGTCTGAAGTTGGATAGGTGATCAGCCCCCGTCACCTTATTATTTTTAAACTTGTAATTGGTTCTACAAAGATATTGGTTATTAAAAAAAAGAGAACTTCTTTTCAAATATAATTTTTTAAAAATTATAAATTAGTCAAATTTAATATATTGACAAACTAATACTTTGAATAGAATTTTACGGTTTTAACATTATTAGTTTACAGATATTTTACTGTACTTAAATAAAATTTTGGAAAATTACAAATTGTCGAAGGTGCAACTAAAGAACTCAGGGATGTTAAAACGGGCCTGAAGCCCGCGGGCCTAAACGGGCTTTGTATAATATCTTTGGACCCGAACCCGTTTATTTAAATTATTTTTATACGGGCTCTAAAAAATTAGGCCCATTTAAGTTTTACAAATAAACGGGTTTAAGAAATAGTTAATGGGTAGCCCGTTTATGTTTTACACTAAATGAGAAACTACGTCGTTTTAGTTTAGGTTACCAAAATCGACCAAAACACAAAACTTTGAAGATTGCTCTCTAGGACGTTGCCGTCACTGAAGCTTCACAAACCCAAGTTCCATTTACTGAATTTAGTTTATATATTTTATATAAATTTATATAAAAGTATAGTATAAAGTTGTTTACTTTATTGAAAAAATAATAGAAATTTCACTGGAAAGGATTTTTTATTTATTTAGATATCAATAATAATTTAAAATAAAGTCATAACATTCATTTAAAATTAACTTTATGATAAAATGTTTTTACATATAAATATATAATAAAACTACGAAAAGTATTTCTATATAGAAATGTAAGTATTATCATAAAAGCTATTTTAAAATAAAATAAAAATTTATTTTTTGTTTCCTTTGTTACTATACAATTTCGAAAAAGAATAATTTTGTTCTATCATTCTTTTTTTTTGGAGGAACGAGAGAAAAAATGTAGTATCCGCATATTTGAAAATTGAATAATGTTTTTTGGTTAATGGTAAAAAAAATGGAGAACAAAGAAGAACATGATAGTGACGGAGATAGTAATAAAGTGAATTATTTAAGTGATGATTTCAATATGGCCTATTGTATGAGCGCCGTTGATTTAAATTTGTGTATACTTCGGATAAAGATTATAAAATATCTTGGCCGGGAGAATAAGAGATGAATCAATTACGGATTTGCCAATTTTTTTTAATGATATTTGTGGATTTGTTTTTTTTTTAAATAGTTTGTGGATTTTGTCCGTGTTTTAGCAGTTTTGTTTGGGTTTAGTCAGTTTCATTTGTTCTTCCGATTTAGTATTTTGTATAAAATACCTATTTTAACAGAAAAAAAGTCGTAAATACATACATTTTTAGATGTAAAAAAAATGGCAAATCCGTAAAATTTTAGTAAAAATGACATTTTCAAAAGATTTTAATGAAAAAGAGTAAAATCAACATTAATCCCATAAAAGATAGGCCAGAAGAATAAAATATAGCTCCCACCACTGTTTTCATTTTCTTAAACTTTTTTTTTTCTTTAAAAAAGTGATAAGATCAAGGGAATATTCAAAAACAAATACACCAAGATTGCTTGACTTGAAGAAGAAACAGACAATTCCAAAAATATATTTATCTTCTCTTTCTTATAAAAACACAGGGAAATTGACAAAAATAGCACTAAAATAAGTTTTTGTTCCAAAAATAACACTACATTTGAAAAGTTCCACAAATAGCACTATAAACTTTAATTAAATATTAAATACGAATCGTGAAAGCCTTCCTAAAATACGTGAAATCCTTTCTAAATTTCGTGGAATCTTCCTGAATTTCTTGGATTTTATTTTGGCAGGAAAAGTCGGACGGAATTTTTTTTGGCGGGAAAATTTTGACGACATTTTTTTTTTCGGGAGCGGAAAATATTTTGGCGGGAAATTTTGACGGAAATTTTTTTGGCGAAAAATTTCGACGGGATTTTGTTATGGCGGGAAAATATTAACGATGAATTTGTGATTTTTGGTATCTATTTATAATTATTTATTAATTTAAAAAAATCAAAAATAAGGTGTTATTTTTGTCCAATAAACTTTTGAGTGCTATTCTTGTCCCAAAAACTTGATTTAGGTCTATAAGAGGCAATTTCTCTAAAAAGAAACTAGGTAAGAACCCATATTATGTTATTTAATTTTATAAAAGAATAATTAAAAAAATTAACTAAAAGTTTTTATATTAAATTGTGAGATGTCAAAACTAAATTTTGTAAATGATCTAAAATATTTTAAATTAAAATAATGATATATATAAATATCATGCAACAATACAGTCTTTAAGTCTATAAATAAACTTACAAATTAAATTTTCAAATATATTAATGATTATAGAGTTTATTTATAGATAAGTTTATTTCAAATAAATTGCATTTACGTCATTCATAAATTTAGATTTATAGATTTACGGTTTTAGTATAAAATTTTATAATATATAAAAACTCCGGTTTCAGGAATATGGTGGTGCATGCAGGGAGGTTTAAAAGAATTGATTTGGCCACCTATGTCACCAAAGTGCACTTATCTTTTCGGTCAACTATCCTGAGAGAACTCCACAGTTAAGCGTGTTTGAGCTGGAGCAATTTCAGGTTGGGTGACCTTCCGGGAAGTGATTGTCGGAACTGTGTGAGTGAGGACAAAACACAGAGAAAGATCATGTGGTTATTTGTAGGGTCGGTAAACAAGTCTTTAAAGCCTCCCGGACGTAGCAAACCGACCGTCGGAAGATGGTGAGGCCCATGGGCCCGGAAGAGGACATGAGAAAGATCCAGATATTTATAAGTGGATGTTGATGTTCAAATGCATATACTATATGTTATATTGTTTAATTTTCAATTGAAAAACACAATGCATTTAATATAAAAAAAATTTATATAGGAGTTTTCTTATTTAAAAGATCCAGATATTTAATTTGGATAAGTTTAGTTAATAAGAATAAGTACTATATGAAATTAAAAGTGTTTGGCAAGATAGATAGTGGAACCCTTAATTATATTTACGTCATTCACTATTCAATCTTATAATTTACATTTTGGTTTCTTCATCACTACCAGTCTTATAAATAAAAGTGTTTGGCAAGATTTCTTCTCCTGGTAAATCTTCATCTTTGCATTTTGGTTTGTTAGGATTCGTTGTTATTAGGCTATGTTTTGATTTGGGTGGCTAATTAGCCAGTCACATGTTAGCCTTATGGCTACTGTTTGTGTGAATGGTCAGTAAGCACACCTATAGCAATGTCGTTGGTGATTCGTTTCAACACTAAAACAGGATTCAACCCATTTTTGGTTATGGATCATCAACTATATCTTTGTTTAGAGTTTCTTGTAACTGTGTGACATAACAATGGTGCCCAATTAGCCGATCACATATTAGCCATATGGCTGCCACTTTCTCTGTGATTGGTCAGTATGTCACCAATAGCACTATCTTGTTGACAGCCTTTTGATTGTGAGCAAATTTATGTTCTCTTTTCTTGGCTATTAACTGTACACGGTACACATTAAAGTACTCATTTTTATGAACGACATTCTCTTCAACTAGTAAGTATTTGTTTCTCTAAATAACAGCACAACATTTTGATATTGTAAATCTCTCTATGGGTGGACACGTTAGTCAACCGCATTCTTCTATATGCGGGTGACCGTAATGCCCACCCAGATGTTTTGTTGGTGGCTTCTTGCACGAAAGTAGATTTCTGCTTTCACTTCCTAGCTATCAACTAAATTTTTGAGTTAAAAGTTTTTGATGGAGAAATATCTTGCTTTACCATCTTAAGTGTACTTTTATTTTGAGGTTTTGAGATTTTTATTCTTTCGGATATCTCAGGTAGCAACCCTGAACAGTCGACGGTATGTCGGTATCAGGAGAAAGCATGTCTCAGTTGGGCAAACCGGGTGCGGTCCTCATGGTCTGCAGGTTATGCCACAAGAAGGATCTCTTAGCCTTAATGGACGAGCCTTTAACAGCAGAAACTTCTACATTGACCATAGCTGGAACTGGAACTGCCAGTGCAGCTTATGTCTCACCAAGCATGAGAGAAGGTTCAGACAGAAAAGCTGGTGGTTCAGACATGAGGAGTAGAAATGAGGGGAACTGACTGTCCGTGTGACTAATTTGTCTAAAGATACCCGTGGACCGGATTTGATGGAGTTGTTTCGTCCGTTTAGTGCTGTAACCTGTTGTCATGTAGCCATTGACCAGAAGACAAGCATGAGCAGAGGATTTGGATTCGTCAATTTTGACAGCAGGGAAGATGCACAGCGAGCAATCAACACATTGAATGGCTATGGTTATGATAACCTCATTCTTAGGGTTGAATGGGCCACTCCTAAACCCAATTAGATCTTTTTCATTCGCTAATGATAATATTCTTTGTAAGATGTTAATGCATATGGATTCTTGACTATAAATTCTCGAGATAAATAGGATTCATGTTGGTCTCTGAATTTGATTTACACTAGCAGTAACCATGGGTCTAATTGCTAAATTTGCACTCGTATGCAAGTTCCTACTAAATGCATTTCTAGTGAATACGTGCAAAAAGTAATAAAACTCTCTTTAATACCGCAAGCATGTTAAAACTTAGAAAAGATGATTTATAAGGGTGAAGTCATTTCCATATTTCATTGACAATTTTACCAATAACCAAGTAAAAATCATCAAATTCAAAGAGATGGGAAACAAGGATTTGAAAGGCTCTTCTACGACCGATCCGAAAGAGGTGATTGTGGCTACACCTCAGCCTCAACAACAACAATAGTCACCGCAATTGATCCTAAAATCGCAACCACAACAGCTATTACCATCGGCCACCTTCATCTGAGATGCATCTTCTCTATCTATGTTACAAAAAAGAAGACTACGAGAAAATGAGCGAAGAGAAAATCGATATGCTCTTAGCGACTTATGGAATCATGACAGTCCCTGGTGAGTTGGCTAACAAGAGAAACTTTGCTTTTGAAACCTTTCGTTGGGATCATAAGAACAATCACCCCAAAGCTTAACAACTACTTGTATAATACAATGAAACTAACGTTTTATGATTGGACCTAAACACATTCATAACTCTTTCATCGATTCACAAGAAAATATAAATCAAAATGCTACTAGTTGTACAATATCGAATATTATAATCACTTTAGCATCTCTTGAACAAGTTTCAAGGGAAACAAAACGAGAGTAGGAAATTGACACTTGTATCAGTAATAGGATTCAAAATTACAAAGGAGACAGAGCACAATGTTAGTTAGATAACCAGAAGCAATAATTGCCAAATAAATCAAATCATAACGAAGAACATTCCTTGCTTTTTTTTGTAATAGATATAGATAATTAAGAGGTATAAGCATAACTTCCTCCACAAATGCAGATTCAAAGCAATAAGGAAAACATTCTGGTTCGCTTTTTCTCTGGGCTTTCCCAAACTAAAGGAAAATGAAAATATTCAGGTTCACCCTGAATTAGGATCATTTGGACTCGGAAGTTTGGAGACTCAAAAAAAATCTAATTAGAAACGTGTTTTGAAACAAAACACAACCACTATATTGCAAATGGTTGTCTCAAGATGAATAGTTGGAAAATATTAAGTTGGAAAAAATTGAGTTGAAAATCATTCAACCCGTTCCTCTGCAAAAATGTAGTTGAATGAGTTGAACATTTTTGCAGTATAATTTGCTCAATTTCTCAGTTTTTAAAGTTAAATGGGTTGAATCATTTTTTCAACTATTTCATCTCAAATGGTAAAAAAATGAGATGAATGTTCATTCAACTCTTTCAACTTCTTCATTTAGGTCAACTATTTACACCTGATTTAATATGTAAGATTTTTTAATATGTTCAAAATATATAGATATATTACTATTCATAAAATTAAATAACTTAATATTTGTCATGTGCTATTACCTAGTTATTTATGAATTTACAACATATGTAAATTTGGTTTTAAAATAATATTAGTTTTCTAATATTCTTATGAATTTCATTTCCTTTTTTGTTACTAATTAAGTAATTATGCTTTGTTAAATTCAAAATTATTTTTTTAATACTAATCAAAATATACAGATTTGAGATGATGCTTATATATATATATATATATATATAATGTTACTCTTTATCTATTAAGATGAAGTGTATATAATTTAAATCTATTTATGATAATATAATAGATAGTTAAATTGTATTAGAAGATGTTGAAGAAAAAAATTTGCATTACAAAATATAAAATGCATGAGGTTCAAATCCGGTTCGTGAAAAATATGAATTACCAATTAGAATTTCATATGTATTTCCTAAACCCGCATATTAATGTGAGACCTTAATTTATATTGTGATAAACTATAAATAAATGTCTCATACTAAAAAAAAAAAATTAAAAGTTTGTGTCAGACTTATATAAGGCAGAATGTGGTGCTTACACTTGAACAAACTGAATGGTATTCTAATTAATAAAAGCAAATAAATAAAATAAGAGTGGATGTAGTTACAACACGTCCAAGACCAATGTTTATCTTTGAATATATTAGGATACAAAGATTTTTGGTTATTTTTTAAAAATTACATCTTTATAAATCACTCTAATATGTCTTGAGGTTTTGCTAATTTAGGTTATTCTAAGTAAATAAATATTTAAATTATTTTTAAGCTACTATGTTACTATATACTCCCTAAATGTTCCTTATTAATGTATTTTGTAGGCTTTTCACACATATTAAGAAAACATATTAAAAATGATTATAATTATATTATTTATGTGATTCACAATTTTTCATAACTCAAAATCAATAGTATTCAAATATATTTTTCTTGAAATGTACAATTCCTCAATAATAACTAATAAATATTGCATAGAAAGCTTAAAATATTTATTTTTTGAAACTAATTCTTTTTTTAGAAAATACAATAATAAGGAACAAAGAGAGTATAAATTATGAATTATTGAAAGATAATGCCATCACTAACAAATCATAATGATAAACTCATCTAAAAAAAATCTCATATCCACCTTCTCTTCAATTTTTACTATCTTTATAGTGATGATATATGTGACATGCTATGAAACGTTTCAACAAGATGGAGAACAATTTTCAATTAGAGGTCCTCTTACGACGATCACGGTACGAAACAATAATGACTATTTGCTTGGAATCCACTGTAAATCTGAAGATGATGATCTCGGTTTCCACATTCTCAAAAAAGGTGAATTATATGGTTGGAAATTTCATGTAAATTTACGAAATTCAACACTTTTTTTCTGTGGATTTAGCCAAGGACAAGATAATAAAGGTGTGTTCGACATTTACAGGGCCAAAAGAGATTTTTATAGATGTAGAAATTGTACTTGGGATGCAAAAAAAGATGGTCTATATGGTTATAGCAACTTGCCTCAAACAGTTATATGGTTTTTCAAGTGGTTAAAGTAGTATTAAATTGTATATTTGATTCAAATATAAATAAAATAATATTTTAAGAACTGTATAATATTTGCATATGATGTTGTAAACCTAAAGATAAAAAATTGTTGTGAAGTATATTACAGCAAGTTTTAGCAAGAGAGCGAATAAGAGATATGTGAGCCTATAGAAGTAGAAACATCAAGAAGTGTGAATTGCTGATGGATGTCAAAGCGGTTGCTATGGGCTGGTCAATCAAAAGAGGAACATGTTTGAAAACATGTACTCGCATATCCAAAATAAAAATTATCTCTGTCAAACCGATGAAAGTTCATTCATTAAAAATAAGGAAAGGGAGATGTCTAAGGATATATTACTTTTAAATATTAGATTTAATGTATATTATTATTTTATAATTAAAAGTTGATAAAATATTCAATCATAATTTGTTTTAATTTATAATGTACCTAAAAATTAAAAATCATATTAATCTATTTAATTAAAATGAGGAAGAGCCTCAATTAATTTAAAAGATAACTACATCCTCAATTAATTCTATCCTTGATCATTTTTTATTTATATTTTCCTTTTAATTTTCTTAATTTTTTATAGACTTCATAGCCAAGCACTATATATTCATATGTAATCTCTGATCTGCTTTCGCTTGTATAAAAATGAAAATCTAGACTAAGTTACACCAAAAAACGAAATTCAAACTGGAAAACCAAACATTACTGAATGATTACTTAAACCGGTTATCTAGTTTTTGGTTACATTGGTCTTGAATGTGATTTTGGGTGGTTTAAAAGGATATTGGGTTGGGATGTGGACCGAGACGACGAAAACTCCTTTTTCGTAAGGCAACCGCTGGGCCATCAATAGTAGCTTCCCACCTAGCCTCGGCCCAATAGTGGTAAAAAACAAAATTGGACCCTTACCTATATACACTAAATTTTCATTATATTTGGACTTATTTAATTTAAAAATATTTTTTTGGACCCCTTTTAAAGTTTATTTCTTAAAAACCATAATATACATTTCAATGTTTAGAAATTGATCTATATTTTTAATTTTTGACATAAAATGGACTCTTAAACATAAGCAAATATTTAAAATTTTGATGGTCGCATGGACCACTATCCTTCTGTCCTACCCATTTGGGCCGGGTCTATTTCCACCGGATAATGAAATAAATAGTTAAATTGTATTAGAAGATGTTGAAAAAATATTGTATTACAATATAAAATGCAAGAGGTACATATGAATTACCATTTAGAATTTCATATGTATTTCCTAAACCCGCATATTTATGTGAGACCTTTATATTGTGATAAACTATAAATAAAAGTCTCATACCAAAAAAGAAAACTAAATTAAAAGTTTGTGTCAGACTTAAATAAGGCAGAATGTGGTGCTTACACTTGAACAAACTAAATCTTATTTTAATTAATAAAAGCAAATAAATAAACTAAGAGTGGATGTAGTTACAACACGTCCAACACCAATGTTTATCTTTGAATATATTAGGATACAATGATTTTTGGTTATTTTTAAGAAAATTTACATCTTTATAAATCACTCTAATATGTCTTTAGGTTTTGCTAATTTAGGTTATTCTAAGTAAATAAATATTTAAAGTATTTTGAAGCTACTATGTTACTATTAAGGGTGTTAAAATGGGTCAAGATTCATGGGTCAACTCAACTCAACTCAACCCAGGAACCCTAATGAGTTGAAAATTTTGACTCAATACGTGAATCATCCCCAAATCTTACTTTACCTGTGACCATCTCATTTATCTTGCAAAACCAAGCACGATGTCTTGTCATATGATTACTATCGCCATTGTCGAGATACCAAGCTTTTCGGAGCATGTATCAAAGTCTTTTGGCATCACATTCTTCTCATTCAAATATACTACCCCATGCATCATAAGTGATTCAACTTCTTGAGTATCATCTTCTTCCTTCTCTAGCGTTTCTTGAAGCTTGATTAATTTGAGAAGTCGATCCAGACAATTCAAAGCATAATGCCCTGTTTTGTCACAT